TAACTCGAGATAGGGTTTTGTGAATAAACCAAGAGTTCAATAAAGATATTTGTTATTCATTTACTATTACCTTTGCCGTGTCTTCATACAGGCGTGATTGTGATAAAAGTTATTGTGATTAATTCGAAGGACTGAATTATATCGTCTAAGTTTTATTTCCAGCCCTCTGGCTAACAGTGGTCTTTTGAATTTAACCTTGAAGGTCGAGATATCAGACGTATTGTCTGCCCTTATCATAACCGGTTTCCAATTTATCCTGAAGAAATTATCAAAGCGACCAGTGATCTTTGAAGCTTAGCTTTGATGTCATTATACCTTGTTTTTTTTATTTATGGTATCTAAAGGGTTTCATATTATGTTGCCCGTGGTGATATTTTTTTTGATTGGATTACTGTTTATGATGTTCTTGGTTTGACAATTTATAAAAATTATAAAAAAAAACAGTTATAGGTTAATCTATATCAATCATATTGTGACCTTTGAATTAATAAAAAAGAGTTCGTTGGAAGTTTTGGAATAATTCTAAAGAAAATTTATAATTATGTATTGCTTAATAAATAAGTTACGATACTCTCTCTTCAGCAACAAGTTTTAATAAAGAAACATCGTTGTATTGTTTTAATTAATAATCCCGAATGTATCTGATTTTAGATTTGGACGGGACGAATTGCCCTCGGACCAATTGACTACTGGTCAAAATGTCCTCTAGTCAACTTGTCCTCTGTGCAAGTTTTAATTAGGATTGGGTTCATTGGGTTCGAAGAGATGGCATTGATTCCTTTATTTTAGAAAATTAGTTTATATTAGCCGCAGTAATTTCGCAACGATCGACGAAAATACAGAACGCAGTACTTAATTAATTTGATATTACTAACTAAATAAATTCTTGCATCATTTTACCTAATTAAAAACTTTCTCCTACTTTTCAATTCATTTATAAATATAAGCTTTAAAGATCTGAGTGCAACAATTAACGCGTTGTAATCCAAGATTACTAAACACCTTATTTGAATTATGTTTGGCACACATATTCAAAATTAGATAACATATAAAATAGACGCATTCTCTAGAAATATAGTCAAGAATTCGTCTTACACAGAATTCTTTCTATGTAAATTATTTAAGAGAATAGATTTAAATGGATAAAAAATTTTTCAAATGAGAAAAATGAAATTCGAACAATAAATTTGTGGAATTAAAACTCTTTACTACGCATTTTAACTTCTAACTTTATTTGAGAAATATTTTGTTAATACCGATCTATTCAACATTTGTGAAATTAGAAAGGCAGTTAAAAAAAAAAGATAAACCAATAATTTAAAGGTTCGCAACATTATAATCAGGAAAAGTGGTTATGAAAGTTTAAAAATCATTTAGGAAGATTCAAAATTCATGGACAGTATATTAGAATATACTGTAACTAGCAGTTTCTTCCAAATTATCATTTATCGGATACTTCATATCCTATAACGATAATTTGGAAGAAATTGCTAGTTATATTCTAATATACTGTCCATTAATTTTGAATCTTCCTAAATAATTTTTTAAACTTTTCATAACAACTTTTTCTGATTATAATGTTGTGAACCTTTAATTTATTGGTTTACGGATTTATAACTACACGAAAATGAGTTAAACTCTGAATTATTTTCCGATAATTATAACAAATTTATAGGAGCGTATGATTTACACAATCAATTTTTTGTAAAGACAAAATTTTATTATAAAAAGGTATCGCGTTTTGAAGAATTTGCATTCTACTTGGAAAAATAAAAATTCATTTCTTTCACAAATAGATAAATACATAAAAAATATTCCAATGTCAAAACTCATTCCTGTTAAATCTCATATGAGTAATAAAGAAGGAAACTATTCTTATCCGACTCGAATGTCTGAACATTCACGTGTTCAAAGATTAAAGTTAACACCAAATGATAGATTAAATAATAATTACCCTTTATCCGCAAATATGTTGATATATTCCTCTCAAAAATCCTTCCACCAATCAAACGGAGGTGGAAAGTGACACCGAATTTGAAATCAAACCAACAATTAAAAGAACCTGCGCTCGCTGTAAAAAATCAAATAAATGCTTTAAAATGATTCGTTCAAAGATTCATAGATTAAAAGAATTAGTTAAAATATTGAGAAACAAATAAATGATTACACCGGAATCAAGGTATTTATAGCTTTAAAATTTTTTCGCATCATTTTCGAATTTTTACCATAATGTCAAAAATTCACTCCTCTCTCTTTTCTTATCAGGAAAGTTAACCACAACTTCTCACCTCATTGCCACAGATAATGGTCATCTTATGATTTTTCAAATTGTAGCATGGAAGATTTACAATTAGTTATTTCAGCTATCACCAATACTATACTATGATGTTTAATAGAAATAATTACGTTAAATAATATTAAATGTAATATAAAAATATATAAATTTATCTGTGTTATGCTGGCAAAATTAGAAAGAAATTTTCATTAAGAAATTGGCAAAAAACATAAAAAAAACCCATTACAAACAATTCTTGTAATTTATATAAATATAACCTAAGTTTACAAAGATTCTCTTCCTAAAATTATAAAAATAAATTTACTTCTCATTAGAAATCTGTTAAGATTTATTTCCCCTATTAAACATTGCTTATATATTTTTTTTTTTTTTTAAAAAAAAACGGTATATTCAGCTGTGCTGTCAAAAAATAGAAAAGCTTTTCAACTGAACTCTGTTACTTTAAAAATTATTATTTATACATGGGCATTGTTTGAATGCCCCAAAAAATTATGCATCCCATTGTTCCGATTTAGTGGAGTTATCGCTGTACGGAAAATGATCATACGTTATATTCCATTTTAAAATGCAATTGCCAAGAAATTGATTTTGACTTTAATAAAAAAAAACCCCCCGCTTTGTTATTCAAAGTAAACTCGAGTGATTTATAAAAGCGTACCTCATGTCAGTTATGTAATAGGACCGACCTAACTATAACTTCTTTGAGTTAGTAATGTATATATTATTTTTTCTTCAAAACAAAGAATAATAAGATAAATTATAATAGAGGATCATTGTTACTGAGATTCGGGGTTTTGTTCTATGATATGTAGAAATATGTATAATAATAATAAAATGCATTTAAGTATTAATTGCAGTTACCCAAGCAAAAAATATACCTTACGGCGTCATTGTTTTATTTTAACGACTTCAAAAAAAGTATATGTACAACATTTCATAAAGCTAAGACAAACGACTAAAAATAGTGCATGGCGACGTGGATCGAATCATTCTTTGAGTAAATCTGGAGAACTCATCGTCGATATAATATATCATTTTATTAGTTTTATTTTAAGATAGATAAAATATATTCGCTGTCGAAAACTAATTATATACTGTACATTATGAAATCATCGTTTTTTCTTTTATTATAAAAAAATGCGAAGTTAAAATGTAATTTATTCATTTTTTAGAGATTTGAAATTTTTGTATTGACTCATTTACAAACAATTTTTGAACTTAACATTTTTATTTTTATTTTTTAGTCTTGTCAATATGAGTTGTCATGCAGCCCAACATTGTTTTTCAGGAATTCACGAGAGAATCGTGAACGAACAATGACGTTTAACCTTGATTAGTAATTAATATATATGTATATTGTTGCGGTCGTACAGAGGATATAGGGATATACACGTCATTCGTAAACCATGATATTTGTCATTTTATTGAACATTTTTCAATAGGAATATAAGTTTTCCAATAAAAAAACGAAAACTTTTAAATGTACACGACAATATTTTTGGTTCTTAACATTTGTTAGCAATGTTGAAGCTTTATTTCAAGATCCGTTTCAAGTATAATTTCGACAAATTTTCATTCTTTCGCTTCTCAAAATATATTTATATGTGTAACTAAATTAAATAATCTATTACATAATAATAACGTAAATTGACATTTTATACGTTTATACTATTAAAATACTGTAGCAAATAAAGTTAAAGTTGCATCACTCTTGAAACTTTTCCAAATACTTTTATTTTATTTTTGAAATATTATGTCATTAAACGGTTAAATTGGTTAAATTATATAATTAAAATTTATTAAGATTAGAAAATAAGATATATTTTAATTTCATATACTGACTGTCGTTCATGTTGAAAACAAAATATATCAGTACATGTAAACATCAAATTTATCCAACCCTTAAGCAATCGTCGTCGAGTAAGAACTATTCCATACTATATTAAATAAAAATTAATAAAATTTTATAATACATTAATATATAATTTTGAACTTAAATTGTTTGTAATTCCAATTGTTTATAATTATTAATAATTCGGATATATGTGAAATTAGAAAGAGAAAAAATTATCGAATAAATAAATTAATTCGTCGCCTACATATACTTCATTTGTTGAAAATTTTGCTATAATTTTCGCTACCATTTAAAATGAGCAAAATAAAAAGTTTCAGATTATGATTTAATAGATAACCAGTTCAATGCAATGGAATTAATAAGATTTGGTTAGTCACGACTCGGTCGATAACCATATACTTTCGTAATTCCAATGTTAAATTATTATTATTTTTTTTTTTTAAAAAAAAAAAGAAATTCTTTATAATTAAAAAAATGCCAATATTATTTTAAGATTACAAAGAATATTGAATTTTAATGCCTAAATTTATAAGTATACCTTAGCATCTGAACAAATGGAAAGTATTAATATGAAACTATTTTCACTAGTTTTTAAAGGATATTTTTATAACAATTTAAATTAATTTTCCAATTCAATGAAAATGTATTTTTGAATTATAGTTTTATCTACAATGTCTACAATGTAATCGCTATCTTCTTCTTCTTCATCATCATCTTCGTTATCTTCGTTAACTTCGTTAGGTTTTGGTTGAAATTCCAATTGTTCGTAATTTTTAAATAATTCTTCGATTTTTGTTTTTGATTTCCAACGACTACATGGAAATTTAATTTCACAATCTCTATAAAATTCGGAGAATTTTGAAGGGTTCAAAAAAAAATTGGGAGATTTAGACTGTAGAAAGTTACCATTCTTTGTCGATCTTTCACTAATGATTTTAAAGTATTTATGTAAAGAATTTGTATAATGAAACCAAGAATCCATTAGTTTAAGTTTTGTTCTTGGAGACAATTCATCGTAAGTAGAATCAGAACGATATTTTTGTAAATCATCTAATACAAGTTTAGAAGATTCTTTGAATACTTTAGGAAACGAGTATTTATCAGCCAAAGTGAATGATAATAAAACTTTTTCCTGAAAATGATGTAAAAGAAATACGGAACAACTTTTTGTAAGTTTATTAATAATGAATTTGTCCGAAATTCGTAAACAATCTTTAACATTATCCCAAGTTATTTCAACAAAAGTATTTGGATAAATGAATGATAACATTCTTTCTAATGATTCGGAAGTTTCACCATTCATCTCAATCATAGGAAAAGTATTTGAAGATTGTTGTGTACCATCAATAATGGTTACAATTTCATTAGTTGAAGGTTTTGAGAATTTAAATAAATCATCAAAGAATTCTGAAGCAATTGAAAGAATTATTTTATGAAGTAGAAATATTGTATTTTCGGCCTTAAGGAAAATATCCCCACTTTTTTCGTAATAATGGATTTTGTGGTGTTCAGTCATAGCAAAATACAGGAAAGGATCAAGAAAGAAAAAAAAATTTAAGGCTTTTTATGCTGATGGATGTTACACATTGTGCTCCGAACCGGTCGGGTCGACCCGGGTTATTGACCCGGCCCCTTCGGAGCACTAGTTACACAATTTCATTGATAGGTTATCGACATGGTCGTTGTATATTGCGCCAATTTTATTCCAATTACTTTTGTTACATGATCGAATTATTTATTTTAAACCTTTTTGGCTATTCGAATTCTGCGAAGAAAATACCTGTTCTTGCTGCCTTATTAAATCAAGTGCAAGACGAATCTCTCAGCATTGTCGCTGATGTGGATAGTATATTAATTGTATTAATATAGTATTTCGTCGACTTCATTTGTTTAACTCGACCTGATATTAATCCAAATTTGACTCGATTGATAACAGAGTCGATATTAGTTTTTTTTTTAAACTCAGTCTTCTACTACCTCTCTAGTTTTATCCAATCTTATTCATTTTTTCAATGAGTAGATTCTTTAACTATTTAATTTATCTTTCAAGTTCTTTTACGCGATTTCCAACATTTCAGCTTTTGCACTCATGTCTCTTGCCGTTTTTTTCAAGTGACCTTTCACGCATTTTCTTTGCCACTTGACTTGCAGAAGCAACTGCTTTTCGTTTCTCTTTTAAGCTTATAGAAAATTATTATTAAAATATAGTATTTTATTTATTCGAATTTATGTTGGAACTCTGTGTTTGCAAAGTGCTTAAAAATTTTATATTTTCGTAAATTTTTAATTTTCTTTTATTTTTAAAAAAAAAACCTTTTATTATATAAAATATATTGAAATTTATAAAAAATAAAATATGAAATTACAATTTTTGCGCCGACATTAGTATGATTTTAAAGGTGAAAAGCATTATTATTATACGATATAGTTAGTTATAATTTTATTAATAAAAATGCCTTATTCACATTTAATTCTTAAAAGGAATAGTTTTCCAATTCAATGAAAATGTATTTTGTGATATTTTCAATTGCGGGTTTTTTTTCATTTGTATTCAATTTTTCGTAATTTTTAAATAATTCTCCGATACTTGGTGGATTTCTATACATACGTGAAAATTTATCATCAATATCTATATAAAATTTAGAGAACTCTGAGGGTTTCAAAAAAAGATCTGGAAATCCAGAAGATAGAAAGTCACTAAATGTAGTTACTTTTACTTTGTCTACTTTTTCTGTTTGTTTTATCGATCTATTACTAACGATTTTAAAGTATTTATGTAAAGAATTTGTATAATGAAACCAAGAATCCATTAGTTTAAGTTTTGTTCTTGGAGACAATTCATCGTAAGTAGAATCAGAACGATATTTTTGTAAATCATCTAATACAAGTTTAGAAGATTCTTTGAATAATTTAGGAAACGAGTATTTATCAGCCAAAATGAATGATAATAAAACATTTTCCTGAAAATGATGTAAAAGAAATACGGAACAACTTTTTGTAAGTTTACTAATAATGAATTTGTCTGAAATTCTTAAATAATCTTCAACATTTTCCCAAGTTATTTCAACAAAAGCATTTGGATAAATGAATGATAACATTCTTTCGATTGATTCAGAAGTTTCATTATTCACCTCAATTGTAGGAAAAGAGTTATTGGAGGATTTTTCGGTTCTTTCAATAATTCTCACATCTTTATTAGTTAAAAGTGTTGAGAGTTTAAATAAATCTTCAAAGAATTCGGAGGATAATGAAAGAATTGTTTTATGAATTAGAAATATTGTATTTTCAGCCTTAAGGAAAAGATCACCTCCTTTTTCGTAATAATGAATTTTGTGGTTGTTAGATAAAAATGACATCGTGAATAAATAAAAAGGAAAAGAATAATTGCATAACAGTTCAAATTTTTTGAGGGTTTTTATAAACACTTGGAAATATGGGATATGTAACACTTTGATCAAGTATCAAGGATGATGATCTTTATAAAAAAACAAAGGATTCTTTCAGTTGTATGCAGGATTTAAGTTACAGAATTGTGTACAAAGTACAGAACGGATTTAGTTTTCATAATTATAAAAATGAGGAAACGCAAATAATTGGGTCCATTCTTACCTTAATTGGAAACAATAAAAATTTTCCGTAGTTAGAACGTCTCCTTTTTTTCATTTATTATTCCTGTTTGATAGGCCGCCTAAAGTTTATTGATATTAACAACTCTTTAACTTATGAAGTCCTAGAAACCCATATCGGTTTCGTTAATAGAAAAAGCCCTATTTATCAAATAAAGTTAATAATATGGTGCGTTTCTTTTGACGAAACCTCATATATTTTCGCGGTAATTAAATTTTTCTTCCAAAGTTTAATTAGTTTAGAAGGCATGCTATAGGTAAATATTTGTCACAGAAACATTTTCCTTAAAGTTTATTTTTTTTAAAAAAAAAATCTGGATTCGGGTACTTATTTCAAAGGAAATTTAGAATAATCTAAAGAATTGATTTGTGGATTGTGCCTTTAGTTTTGTAATGAATCGAATGTTTATTTCTCATGAAATCGGCCCTTTGAAGTATCAAGTTACATTTCAAATAAAATAAATTATCTAATTTAGGTTAGTTCAGGAGTTTAAGTAGCAAAGGTGCTTGTCTTTACAGACATTTGTTTTCCATATTAATTGCAAAAGTGAGAAAGCTTTCAAAAGGTAATAAATATATTATTGTAAATTTATAAACTTATATTTATTTGTTATTGACACGTATGATTTACGTGAAATGATTTGATTTCACTACACTTTTAGTAACGGATATTTCCAATTTATTATCAGGTTGTGAACTTCACTAGACAATATCAAGGATTTACATTACTGCCTATTTTAGAAACTCAAATAACCACTATTGTTTTGGTTCAACTAATATTTTATATATGTACGTACGGCCGGGGTTGGGCATTTTGTATGTACTAGTTAACATTAACACTGTACTTGCACTAATTATTATAATGTACTAATTGTACTAATTGTATAATCATTCTACTAACACTGTACTTCCCAACCCTGTATACGGCATTTTATATAATTACCATTTTCTCTGATATTTGACGCGTCGTTGAGTGAACATCTTACGAAACAGCAAAATCAAACTAATCGTGTTATTACTGGGCGAAGGGAGAGTCCAAAAGATTCAATAATTTCAACGCATTAAACATGGTAATACGTGCTTCAAAATTCTAACTTACATTATGAATTGGCCCGAGTTAACAACAATGTATGCTAGCACTGAATATGCTTATCTAATGTTGAAAGTCAACACAAAGCCAATAATATCAATGATAATCGATCAATGATTTTAACTATTACATATTGTATTGCTATACACTATTAACATAATCGCAATTATTTATTTGTACACAAAAGTATAAACGAAAAAAAAAAAGAAATGACATCAATAATCATCATCAATCATACAAATTATCAGATTTGTTAACCATGTCACGAGAAACCCAAACAGTCCCTCCACTACCTCCAGTCATGCAAGAACCCAACGAACCATCCGCTTCCAACTTCATCGGCACCAATTCCGACTCTTGCCTTATACACCTTTCAAGGTTCTTTTTAGATGCCATTTGTTTTCGATTTAACCTTTCCCGACTGAGCATTTCATCTCCTGTCAATTTGCAAACATCCTCCGCTTTAATCACCCCGTTAATGACATTACGTACAAATTCCGGGTTATTCTTGTCTCGTAAATTCAACAATATACTTCTGGAGCGTAACTTGTACTTTTCGCCATGAGATATGGATCCAAAAATGTGCTCTTCTATTTTCTTTGCAAGCATTGCCATCTTTTGTTTCGTTTCTTCACCGTCCTTATCTTCACACGCTTTCAAAAATGATTGATAAAATAATGTCAAACCTAACAATGAAATGACAAGGTTATTAAAAATATATACCAATTTTTTTCTTTTAATTCTTCTGCATAAATCACCTACAGTTATCACGGATACCGTCTCCCGTATAAAAATGTTTTGATGGAAGTTTCGGTCCCGCAACCTTCAATACTGGCTGACTTGTCGCATCGGTCTTTAACTTTTTGAAAGTACGAACTTCTTGACGACTTTTCCTCTTACGAAGCATTATCATTATTTGAAATGAAGTGGTTGGAAAGATTATACGTGAAAATGGACAAGTTAATTAAAACTTGTTATTTTACTATTTTGCTTAAAGAATATGTTATTCTTTCTTGACCAAAGACCAAACGGTGCCTTTGAAAAGAAGAGAAATTTACCCTTTATATATATATTTTTTTCATCATTACGAAATTCCAGTAAGCTCAATAGGCCCAATAGACTTTTATCGGTAATTATAATTATCTTATTCATCATTAAAAATAATCGAATGATCATTACATTATGCTATAAAAAAAAAAACTTTATTTTATTTTATTTTCCTAGATCCATCGGTGCTGAAGTTCGCCATTTGATTGGCCATATTATTTCAAAATGAGGAAATTTTCACATCAAAACATTCTATAAAAAAATGGAATTTTGGAACGCGATGGATTTGATTGCATTTCATTTATCCTTTCCGCCACGTTTAGAAAGAAATCAGTGAACACATTAAAGAATGGAACATTGATGATGGACGCGTAACACATGACCGGCCACTTTGTGTGCAATCGCCAAAACCCGTAAGCTTTAATATAGTTTGTACCTTTTTGACGCGTTTCTGCCATTCGCTCATGATTTACAAATTAATTTATTTACTGAGAATCTTCCTTTACTCTCAAACATTATCTTTCTTCCTTTTATCGTCATTATTTCTAAATTAATTTTTTCATTACATTCCATCTTCCCATTCCTGTATTACTGCGGATTATTAACTTTAATCGGGCAGAGATTCCTTTAAAATAATGTTTTTTCCGATATCATTATTGTGGATTCTTCATAGGTTTCTCCAAAACTAATATTTTTTTCCATATTAATTTTCTTTACATTCTATCTTCCCAATCCTAGTGTTTCTGCGGATCATTAACTTTAATCGAACAGCGTTCCCGATATGATTATTGCAAAATAATGTTTTTCCAAATTTATACTTATTCAAGTTTTAAATTAGTAAGATCATTTATTTTTCACAGCTCAAGCCCGGGTCACCCGGAAGTGAGAAGCTTCCTATAAACGTCTTATTTTGAATTTTTTGATGATTGAAAAAAACTACAAGTCAAAAGAATTTCTATTCTATTTATAAGAAATCAAATAATGATCTACAAATTTACCTCCCAATAATTATTTTCAATCAATCCGTTTCCCATCGGTCTTTTTTAGATTTTAAGATCAAATTTCCCTATCATTTTCTGTATCAGTTACTTCATTCTTAGATTCTATTAAATCCTTTTTTATATTTTTACTTTTCTTTTTAATTGGTTCCTTCCTTTGAAATCTTTTTATTATTGGTCTTCCCAAGTTTCAAACTTTCCTTTTTGATGCACTATTAACTCTTCGACTTCTCGTGACATTTGTGTTTATATGTACACAAAGCTTCTGTGTGATCCATCCGATAATTATGTCATTTGTGTAATCTTCGAACTGATCATGTCGATTTCTTTCTACCGCGCCACATATTATGTTCGTCATGTGATTTCTGCGTCACAACTAATTCTACAAACAGATTCATGTTTGTTAATGCATTTCCTTGTTTGTTAGCATACAGTGTCTAGCTGATAAAGATATTAATTAGCCTATGATCAAAAAAAGGCAATTTATGAACAAAATGAAAAAACAAATTATCGATAAAGCTTTTGCTTCGCACCAGTAAGATTTCAAAAGAATCCAACTTGGAAATCTAGAAATTCTAATTTCAAAGAACAGAAATAAAAAACGAGAAATTGATGTAATAAAATATGTTTATTTAATTTTGATCGCATCTTGAATTAAATTGTGTGTAATGCTTTTTTGGGGGCTCTTTTTTATTTTTTTTTTAAAAATTTTTTTCCTATCCTTCCCCTCTCTCACTTCAAGGTTTGTAAATTTATTTTTTTTTTCTTTTTTTTTTTAAAAAAAAAAAAACTTTTCACAAAAAAAAAAAAATGGATGAAATGAACTTACCGGATAAAACACAATAAAGAAAATAATTTTTTACCAATAAACAAACAAAGGTAAAATTCGCTATTAACGTGTGAAATACGCCACATTTAATTGGATGAGACCATTCCTTTGGGAAACAAAAAAAAAAATCAATCCAGACTTAAAATAATAAATATTAAAGAAATCATAAGAAAATCGTGATCACAACTCGAAAATTTATTCGTCAATTGGAAATGCCTAATGGTAATTAACCTCTTTATAGTATAATACAAGTATTTGAGTTCATTCCCTTAATAAAAAATAAAAACAAAACTTGCCGTATTTGCATAAATAAGTTTTTGCCTTTATCCGTGAGAATTTGAGCCTCTCTTTTCTTTTGAAATATAGACCCATTTTTTTTTTTTTTTTTTTTTTTTTTTTTTGAACCTTTAGGAAAAAATTCCTTATAATTATAAATCGAGGAAAAGAAAATTAATAATAGAATAATCTTCGTCCAAAGCCAACTTTTTTTTTCTTTTCATCATAGACAATGACAAACTTCCCAATCGAAGTCGTACAAAAAATCGTCTCATATCTTCAAGATATTAAGAATCCAAATTATTTATTTTCTGCGTTAATGGTTAACAGGGATTGGTGTAAAGTGTCGGTACCATTTCTATGGGAAATAACGTTGGATTATTCACCAGATAAATACAATTCATATAAATGCATAAGAACGTACCTATCAAACGCTAATGAGGAATCAAGAATTTTCTTGACTCACCATGGAATGGATTTATTATCATCACCACCTTGGACATCCTTTAATTATGCGACTTATTTAAATTCTATAAATTATCATCACTTGGCGGTATTAATCGAATCATACTTGTCAAAAATAAATAATAGGAATTTTGATGATTTCATCTCGGCAAAGGAAAGGATATTATTTCAAGAATTATGTAAATTATTCATGAAAAGGAGTCGATCCATGAAACGCATCATCATACCTGATACCATCAGATTGGACGGTATCATAGGGGAGATACCTTACATCACTCGTTACGATGGGGCGAATAGATGTCTGAAAGGATTAAAAGAACTTTATTGTTATTGGAACTTTAATGAGACCTTTTATAAATCCATACTTCAATTTTGTAAAAACATACAAGTGATTAAAATTTATATTGATGCTTATTATGATATGGATTCTTTAGCAAATTTAATCTCTTTACAGAATAATTTAAAACAATTGAAAATCGAAGTGCAAGAACTCATCATGGGAAATATGGTATCGAATGATTATTGCACCCCCTTATTTAATTCGATATTAAATCAAAGTCATTCGATACAAAAGTTGGAATTGGTTAATTTCTCCTTTCAATACGCTGATAGTAAAACTTTAGAAAGGTTAATAATCTCTTGTAAATATTTAAGATTTTTATCAATTTATCAATGTAAATACTTGGAAAATCAACAATTTAATTCAACAGATAACTTTCATAGTTTGGAAGAACTTTATTATTGTCTTAGGGTTGATGATATCTTTCCTGAAAAGTTGCTCGTAGGAATATTTAAAACCGCGAATACAAAATTAAGAAAAATCAAATTATCCTATCACACGATTAAAGTCATCCGCGCCATCATTTTTAATTGTCTGAATGTAGAAATTTTAAATTTATCGACTATTTCCTTAAGTCATAATATCATCTTGAGAATTTTCGACACTTGTACGAGACTAAAACATTTTACTTTTGAAGGTGAGAGGGGTTATGATGAGAATGATCTGTTAATTCAAATGAGCAAATACGTTCCGATCACTCTGGAAACTTTGGAAATTAAAATGTTATTACAATATCCTTGGATATTCTCTGCTGCGTCGTTGAAGGTCTTCTTGAAGGCTTCAAAAAATTTAAGGTTATTAAAAATCATTCATAAAGAACCTCAACAAACGTTGGATCAACAATTTTCTAATCCTTTGACCCCGAAAAATTCTTCCATGAAAATTCTAACCAAAGATCATTTTGACGTCATTGAAGAACTTGGTATAGGACTTTATATGTCAAGTGGGATAAAGTTTAGCAAAAAGTTATATCCGAATTACGTTCACACCATAGTGATCCCTTCCAAGAAATAAAATGTGTCTATGGTACTTTTGGTACATGGGGGAGAGAACGAAATTTCGATTTACTTTGATAGTAATTTCGACATGATTTTATATTTATATGTACATTTTTTTTGGGGGGGGGATATGTTATTTTGCTCAAAAATTTTAAAAATAATGAGGAAAAAAAAAAATAAAAAAAAAAAAAAAAAAAAAAAAAAAAAAAAAACCAAAAAACAAAAACAAAAATAAAAATGTTTGTTAAAGGAAAATGTTTACAATCTTGAAGTAACGTGATACCTACGTCATCCATCGTATCAAATTTATTTAGATGGCATCTCGCTCTTTCTATTGATCTGCATTCCTGATTCGTTCCTTCCCATTTCGAAATATTATTTTCGTGTATAATATGAACTCTCATTCCGTATCTAACACCTTTGTATGGGAACTTGGTAGTTTTCAAGAATATGTTAAAACAATTTCCCATCAAGATAGAATTTATTCTCCAAAATTCTGGTTACCAACTTGTGATATCTCACATAGTACAAGTACCGACCCAAATATCATTAAAAACATCACCCAAAGCAACCAACCAAACTTCACTATTACAAATGATAATAATTTGAACGCGTCACATGGACCCCTCAATGTGTTAACATCCGCATTACCATTCTCGCCGGGAGATAATCCAACATCACACAACTTTTGGCAATTTCGTATGTACCCAAATGGAAACATTTGTCACGAAAATTATATTTCGCTCTTCTTAAAAGCAATTCGTACACCATTTGAAAAATTAAGTAATATCACTTCAAGACGACAACAATTCCTATTGGAAATAGGAAAGTTGGGTCCAACGACGATTATAAGCAATTATAATATCATTCACGTCCCAACAAGAAAACAAATCATTAAACAACAAATTTTTGAGTATACTTTTGAATTCGATAAGGAAAATATTACTTGCGGTTTTCCTAAATTTTGTTCATTGGATTTATTGTTTCCCGGTGGTGATAAATCAAATGAAATTGATTTATTCGTACAAGTGACCGTACTTAGCGATGATTCCTCCCGATCAAACATATTGTTATTATTGGATGACGATACCATTAATAATCAACAGCAAGATGATTGTGATGTTGAAGACATTTCTGATGATATCGAAGAATATTTTAGGAATGAGTCATTCGCTGATATAGAATTCTTATTTGATTGCGGTTCAACTTTAAAAGCTCATCGGATCGTATTGGCCACCCGATGCAATTATTTTAAAATGATGCTTCAAGGTGGATTTAAAGAAGCAAGCCTTGATGTAATTCCCATTCGTGATGTAAATTATGAGGTCTATTATATCATATTATATTATATCTACACGGGAAAATTGATGGATCTCAATGAAGAAAATGCTTATGAGTTATTGAGGGATTCTTACAAACATTCTGATTTGATGGGATTGATCACCTTGAAAAAGATGATCGCAAAACTCATTGTAAAGTTGGTCAATGTTGATAATTGGCATGAAATATTATTCTTGGGCTGGCAATTTAATGATTTGCTGTTGAGAACGAAAGGATTAAAGTTCGTTAAAGAACATTGGGATATTATTAAATATAGTGATAACCTACGTCGTCTTTTGGATGATTCTAGCGTTGATTGGATTGAAGAGTTATTCTTGGTGGCAAATGGTACCGCCCATATGGTTAGATAAAGAGTATTAATAGGTGGTTTTTTTTTCTTTTTCACACAGCAAGCATTGTCACCAATAGAATAGCGTGTATAAATTACTTAGATGAAAACCTTGTAGTTCTATACGTTACAATTATTTTGCTGTATTATCATTTAATATAAAGAAATTTATTGATAGAATTATACAAAGTTGATCTTAACTTTTGATTAGCTTTTCTTTCTATACAAGGTTAATCAAATTTGTTAAGCTAAAAATACGTGTCCAATAAAATCTTTAGAATAATATATTAACCAATAATTTAAAAATAATGTAACCAATAAACACTTCTTTAATTTATTTGAAATACTTTCTCATTAGGAATTAGTTAACGGCTTAATATATTTTTCCCAATAACTAGGAACTCCAATACAATCAGGTGCCGCTCTCATAATATTAAAGTAAGCTATTAAATGACAAAGGAAAATACAATTAACAACTTGAAAAAAAAAATATTCATATAATATATTATACACGATTGATTAATACCTGGATAAACGTCACCATCAAACTTTCCAAGAGGAGCTTTCAGAACAAAATCAGGGTACCCCCAGGAATCAACAAGAGGAATGCATTCCTTTCTTATCTCCTTACACAACTCCAAATAACATTTCCTTATCATTTGAACCTGTTCTCCATTGAAATATCCTCTTTCCAAAAATAATCCCAACGAGTCATGAATTAAATGTATGGCCCATAGGTTTCCTAATTTGGTCAATATGGGTACTAATGCTTTAAATTCGCTGGTTTTTGATGATGAATATTCTTCAATGGCTTTCATGTATTCTGATAATGTAAACCTATACGAATATAACTCTCCTAATTTAACTGCATATACTTGATTATTATGCCATGTTGTCTCTTCATCTGTTGTTGATGAAGCTATATTGGTTGCAAGCGTTTCAATCTAAATATATATATATATATATTTATTTTTTTTATTTTTATTTTTTAAAAAAAGTTATATCTTAAAAAGTTACCGTTTTAAAACATAGCCAGGTGTACATCTCCAATGTATAGTTTAGATCCAATAATTGACCTTCATCCGACAAAGTACTTTTTGTAATTGAACGTATTTGTTGAAAGTTATTCATAAATTCTGCGGAACCAATAATTTTCTTGCCTTGAGAAACATTTCTAAACATCCCCAAAAGATATCTCTACAATAATTATTGAAACAAACTTTGAGTATATATTATCTTTATAAGGTTCAACCAACAATAAATACCGCAGTTTGTTGTATAATAACATAATTATCTCCTCCGCCTATATATAAATAAATACATCAATAAACAAACCGAAATATTATATACATCATGTGCTGACCTTACCTGTGGTAACGACGCCCCAATCTCCAATAGCTCCGGCGATGGCATTATAAGAGGAATAAGCGTGACCTCCCAAAGATCTACGAACTCTTTCTAAAACTTCACACCCCCACCACGTTACAGTTGCCTTCAACCCCGTTGATATTGCATGCATATCAGGTAAATATGAAGCAAATTCTTCTTGATTTGTTTGTACCAATTTCATAATTTCTTGCCATTTATTCATAATCATCCTAAAAAATATTACATATTACTTCATATAATAACTTTTATAATAAAATCAAAATAAATATTATGACTACTTAATTTTGATTACCTATTAACGATTTCTATGATGTAAGTACTAGCAACGCATGGCATCAGCCTAACGTAATGAGATTGATAATCCATAATTTGTTCATCATTAGCTCCTTGTTTTCTAACACATCCATACCTACAGGCAATAGTAAGAATTTGTCCAAATGTACTAACAGCTCCCGGTAATACTGTAAGTCTTTCTCCAATTAATGTAGAATAAGATATCGTTGGATTCGCTGAAGGAATATATTTTCCTTCTTGAGTAACTTTAGCCCATCTCATCAACATATTTGTTCTTGGAATACGTACATGCGAAAACTGTATCCATCCATTATCCAAACCATTTCTTCCATATTTTTCTCCCATATCTCCTGCTGTTACTCCTGTCAATAATCTTCCGTTTTTTTGATCTCGTAATTGTACTATGAACCAATTTACTCCATACATCTTTCCATTAACGATTGTTTGACATAGTGCTATTGTATGTGTCGCAGTTTGCCCCGCCATTCCAATCCACCTAAAAAAACGAAAGGGATGAAAATTTTTAGGTCATGATTTTGAAAAATTAATAAAATATAATAAAATAACCAACACTTTTGTAGCAGTTAAAGTTGGAGAATGAATGATAAATTCATCCGTTTTACTATCATATGTCGCAGTTGTTTCCAATCCACGTAAGAAAGAACCATGTCCCAATTCTGTCTAATATTATGAAACGAATACATATTAATGAAGAAGAAAAATTAGAAAATTTCTAAACTTACCATAGCAAAACATCCAATAACTTTCCATTTTAAAATGTCATCTATATAAGAATCATATTGTTCCTTTGTACCGAACACTTGAAATGATTGTAAAAATAATATATCATGCACATAGGTTCTCATCATAAAACTTTCTGAATATATACTATCATTTTTTTTTCCATTTTTAAAGAGTAAAAAAAAACAAAGAAAAATTTCAATACACAAAAAAAAATCGACCAGGATCAAAAAAGAAGACTTACGACATGGCAGTTTCTAACGCTTTAATCAGTAGTGGATTTTTCAATGATTCTCTCAATTGTCTATATCTAAAAATTTGTTTCATAGTACTAAAAAGGCAATAATTTATTAGGTTGTATACTATAAATATTATCAATAATAAAAATAATTATATAAATATGTTTCTTACAATTCACGTTGTTCAGGTCTAGTCAAATCAAAATGATGACCTGCTGGAAAACAAAGATTCGGATCACGTTGAATAATCAAGAAGGCATCTTGCTTATAATATTTCACAAAAATAAAATTTAATAAATTCATTAATTTTCTGTAAACAAATTTTCAACAAATTTCTATATATATATATATCGATTTAATAAAATTTACCAGGGCTTCAGCGAATTCTTTATCGCCCCAAAATAACCAATTCATATGTTTAACATTAAACGTAGCATTTTCTCGTTCTCGTGTTAAATCGGTAGGTCCTGTTGGTTTAGGTTGATTACTGATATGATTTTGTATAGCTGTTAATCGAACTAACGCATTTTTCTTGGACATTTTTTGATACGGAAATAAACAATGAATTTTTTATTAAAATTAAAAAAAAAGGAACTTCTAATTTAAGATTAGATTTGATGATCATCCATCACAATGCATTTATTTATTCCAAAACAAGAAATTGAATTATACATGACTCGTAAATATTAAATGAAAAATACTGAGAATAGCTTTACTGCAAATTTTAAAGCATCTGATATCCAATAAGAAATTAATGAGCATTACTTATTTAAATACATTTTGAAACTTTTATCCAAAATATCATGATGTTTCAAAAAGATTTCAGAGCATTTAGGAATTTGATTCGTTTTGAAAATACCTTCAATCATTTGAAATTTCAAAGGTTTAATCAAAATAGTTTTGGCAATTGAAAAGAAAATATCCAAAGCATCCGCATTTTGGATCATGATATCATCATCCAACTGTAGCAACTCCAATTTCTTTGGAATTGATTCAGAATTTGCCAATTTAATAATTCCTTCACTAATATCTACTTTATGACCCGGAATAGTATCACCTCGTAAAGTAAGACTTTTCATATGAGGATTTGAGAGTGTTATTTCATATAATTGTAAAACAGTTTTAGAATTTACAGCGATGTTTAAAGAACTTAATTTAGTACAATGATTGGCTATTGCAGTGAAAAGGCCGGGAGCATTATATCCAAAATATCCACCGACCACATATTGCCATTTTAAATAAATTACTTGTAAGTTCGATCCAGAATTTTCAATTATAGTTATTAGTGATTCAATTTGTAACCCAACAAGATCTAATTCTAATTTCCAAAGATTTTGAACGGGATTTGTCATGAGTGGCTCAAAATATTCTTTTCTAACACGTTCATAACTTTTGATGATAAGAGATTCCAAAGGTGACTCTCTAAATGTCGTAAGAGGAATACTATAACGCCCCAAGGACGTTAAATTTTTTAATTTGCCAGATCTTTTGGAAAAAGCATTCATAAGAAATGGCATGTCAACACTTGCATCAAGTAAGAAAGAAACCAACCCGCTCTCTTGAGCCTTAATCAAAGTATTTAACCCAACGCTGTCAATACATCCACATCTAATTCTAATATCTTTAATAGAATGACATATTTCGGCTAAGCCAAAAAAGAATTCTGAAGGGAGACAACCTTCACAATGTAATGAACTCAAATTTGATAATCTACTTTGCACATTTGGAAGTCTTGTAAAAGAAATAAAAAATGAGTCCCAATAATATGGACCATTATGAGATTGTTCCACCTCATAACTTTGTTCATTTGCATTTTTTTTAGGCCAATACTTTCCAGGAATGAATTTTGACTTTTCAGCACAAATGTTTGTAATATTTGATTGATTAAGGAATACAATTACTAATTCTCTCAAGATAGTACTCATTGTTTTAACATAATTAATCAAATCATGAGGATCATAATCGTTTTTTTCCAACCAAAGTGAAATCCCTCGATCCACGTATGGCAAATGAAGTGTTTTCAATAAAGTCGCATAAGGAAAAACCGGATTCTTCATAGGTATTTTATCAATATTAATCTTAAAACCTAAGAGAAAATCTTTAGTTTCTTGTGATAAATATGGCAAGTAAACATCTAACAATTTCCATGTTTTCGTGAATTTTGAATTTTCAAAAATTTCGAAAGGACTACTCCATAATTTTCCAATTCCGGCAGAAAAAGTTCTTCTATTTATCAGAATTGCAGTATGAAGCGAACAAATATCCAAATTCTCGAATATCTCTTCCCAACATTCTGCAGGTAATCGATTTGCCATGTTTTAGCTGGCAAAAAGAAAGAGTCTGTAATGAGGCTTTTAGTGATCTACCTAACAGAAGTTACACAAGCCGGTCGCAATAAATTGAGCAAGTTTCACAAAAAAGTTAATTTATTTTTCGTTGAAATGATGTCTTCACAATTACCCACAATACTTAATTCAACGTTTTTAACTTCAGGCTTAAGTAAAGGATTTTTTGAGTTTGTTACTAAAGTCGGTGAAGCTATAAGTAAACAGGTTAATTAATGACTCTTTCATTTCAATATATATATTTTAAAATTATTGTATATTGTAATTTGATTGAATTGTATTTTTCTAGGAAGAAGATAGATATGTAACAGAGGAACTTACGTATTTAAAGAATAAATTAAATCAACCAGATATATCGACGGTATTTTAATGAATCCTATTTGATTCTTTAAATAATTTCTTTTTATATTTTTTTTAAAAATTTTTTTTATAATTTGTGATTTACAATAATTAGTATAAAATGAAAGATTACATAACAAGATTAATTTACTGTGAAATGTTGGGATATAATGTTGAATTTGGTCATATTCATGCTGTTAATTTGGCTCAAAGTGCAAAAGGATTATGGGAGAAAAGAGTTGGTGAGTTGTATTACTTATAAAGCTTCACCGATCTAGAGATTTATTATGATTACTACTTGAATTTGTAAATTATTAAATATTAATAAATTATTCATTAAAAAAAAACCTAATATTAAAAAAACTGTTAAATGTTATAGGATATCTAGCATGTTCATTATTCTTGCACGAAACTCATCAATTTAGTATAATGTTAATTAATACAATACAAAAGGTAATTAAAATATACTCATGAATAATGAAATAAAAATAATAATTAATTTAGTTTATTTGTTTATTAGGATTTAAGGAGTAGCAATTATTTAGAAGTATGTGCCGCATTGACTGTATTATGTCATTTATTAAACAAAGAAATGATTCCAGCAGTATTTGGATTAGTTGAAGAGAATTTATCTCATCCAAAGTAATTTTAGTTTAAGATGTAGTTCTCCCTTATACTTTTTATAATTAAGCTGATTAAGTCGTTTTATTCATAAGAGATACAGTCCGGAAGAAAGCTATCATGGTTTTTCACAGATTATTTTATGACACTCCTGAACTGATTTCACACCTTGACGAGAAATTTCGTCAAATATTATCTACAAGAGATCCAGGCGTTTTAGGAGCCATTTTATGTCTTTTTGTCGATTTTGTAAAGGTATAGATCATGAGCAAAAGTTTAAAAAAAGATTTTTTGTTCTTGCGAAAAACTTACAATTTCCTTTTAGAAAGATCCGAGTAGATACAAAGATTTGGTTCCTATACTCGTAAATATTCTCGAACAAGTTCTTGATAGATATTTGCCTAGAAATTATGACTATCATGGAGTTCCTGCTCCTTGGATTCAAGTAAAAATTATTGAAATGTTGGGAATGTTGGCGAAAAATGATGAAAAGTAAGTTTTTTCATATCTTTAAAATTTTTGTTAAGATCATATGATCATATTAATTTAAAATTTTTGAAAATTTTTTAAGGATAAGTTCGGAAGTTGGACAATTAATCGTCCATACTTTGAAAAAATCCGAAAATGGTGTGGATTGCGCTTACGGTATTGTTATTTTTTTTTGGAATTATCAGTTACGTTACGATTCCACAAAATTTTAAACTAAAAAAAATAAATGTTCTAGCCGTAATATTTGAATGCATTCGCGCGTTAGCAAGATTACATCCACAAGTCTTGAGGGTCCTCATTCATAAACCATCGCATCTTAACCCACTTAGCATAATCACGCGCTTTTTAAAATCAAATAATCATAATCTAAAATATTTGGGATTGATTGCATTATCGGAAGTTGACCCTATTTGGTGGGCTGAAGGTGAATGGTGCGGAGAGGAGCAAATGAAAGTTATTGTTGATTGTTTAGAAGAGAAAGACGATTCCCTCAAAAGAAAGGTTGGTTTGTTTATTACATATAATTTAAATGTTATTTCTTATTTACCAATTTCTTTACCAAAAATATATGTATATTTAGACTTTGGATTTATTATATAAGATGGCTAATTCACAAAATGTGGTCATCGTCGTGGAAAAAATGATTGAAGCATTACGCAAAACTTCAGCAACCGATGAATTTTTGCGGAAATTATTAGTTGCGCGAATTATTGAAACTGCTGAAAAATATCCTTTAGAAAATTGATGTCATTTAGATTTTTCTATATTTCGATTTTTTTCATACGTCATCTTTAATCAAATTTATGTTGTTGTACACATTCTCTTCTGATTCAGAATGGATGATAAAGTCCATCATTACAACATTCGAAATTGCTGGAGATTTAGTCCAAGAAGAAACCGGAGATTTCGTGTTTTTGATTTTATCTAAAAGTATGCAACTAGAAAACAACTTGTTGATTTCATTTTTATTTTTTGAAGTTTTGAATGTGGTTCTTTTTATAATTAGTTTTATCTTTACTTCTTTGAAGATACTGAAAATCCCGAGAAAGGCGATGAATTACGTAAATGTGCTGTCGTAGAAGCTTTAAAAGTCTTGGATAAAGATTTAAAAGATTTAAACAATATCTCTTTGAGTTTGCTTACCTGGACTGTCAGAGTATTTAACTTACATTTTTAAAGGTTTGATATTATTTTTTGATTTTTTAAAAAACTTGTTTTCTTAAAATAGGTTCTGGGAGAATTCATGGACTATTCAGATGCGCAATCCGGGAAAGTTATCGATACGTTCCGTGAATTATTAAATAAGGAGCATGGTTCGTATAAAGTTTATATTGTTATTAAAGTAAAAAAAAAAAAAAAAAAAAGGACTCAATTTATTTTAATGCGTTCAAGTTACCCGTGGTCTTCAAAGTTCAATAATTACCGCTTTACTTAAATATGTGTCAAAGACAAAAGACTGTTCAGAAAAGATTATGGAAGCTGTCGCTAGGTGTAGAGAATCTTCTTCTAGTGATATCAAACAAGTACGTGCTATTTACATATATTCTTTTTTTTTAATTTTTTTAAAATGATTTTAAACCGTTTTCGTTTTTTAGAAAAGTCGAGAATTTGTTATACTAGTAGATGACTTAGTACTTTTGAACAAACTACTAGAACCTTCATATACTGAGGAAATCACTGTATATATTATTTAATACATATTAAAAATTGGTATCTTTCTTAAATATTAATCAATTTGTTTTTATAGATTGACGAAACACTTTCATTTCTTGATGAATTTGTTGAAACAGCTTTGAAAGACGGAGCCAAGCCTTATAATCCTATACCGATTGTTCGAAGCAAGGAAACATCCGGTAAGAATATTAATATAAGACTATGATATATTCTAATCATTATAACTGAATGACCAATTAAAATATTTTATGTTAGAATCCGAAAAGAAACCGATAGAAATTCGATATAAAGCTTACGACAAACCAACATTACCATATTATCGGAACCAAACATCAATTTCTAATTCAACTTTGAGTGAACCGAAATATGGAGACTCGGGACTTGCCACATCACCAATAGATGATGGCATTTTATCAAGTTGGAGCGGAAATCCACCTGTAACTCCGGGTCAATTGGCGTGGATGAGCGTGTCACAAGATACGCTTACGCCTGGAGATTATGGAGATTATGAAGAATTCGATGGAAGGTAAGACAGCAATCTGGGTAATATTTGGAAATTTTTTTTTTTTTTAAAAAAAGATTAATAGTCGTCAAAAATAGACAGTCATTGATGGCGTCTGTTGCGAGGGTAGTAACGTCACCAAGTTCGTTGAAATGGTGTCGTACCGGATACAAACCGATTCAACAGCAATCATCACGGTAATCTATATCTTTATTAAGCCGCTTATATTATTAAATGTTTAGTTATATACTCCTTTAATTAAATATACTCTTCTAATTTAGCATCGTTTCTACCTCTCCAACATTATCAGCCATATCTAGCGAAGAGTAAGAGTATTTTAAGAAAATGTTAATATATGCGAGAATTGTTCCATCTACAAATTTAATAATAATTTTTTTTTTTTAAAAAAAAAAAAGTCCAGTGAATAGTTCGACGAGTAACGTTCATCCGTTTTTGAGAACATCAGTCAAGGTAAGCTTATAACATCAAGGAATATTTTAAATTTATGCTAAAATATTCTACTTTCTATGTTAGGCTGCACCTATAACATCAATTACAGCAAAAAACGTTGTCACACATGAAAAAGATAGATTAGCGTCGGCTTTATTTAGTGGCGTTGGAGAAAACAAGGGAATGAATTCTTCAATTTATGGACATTCCGAGGATGTTAGTAGTAGCGGAAGTCTCCCCAAATATCATCCCCGGAAAAGCATGGTATGTACGACCATTAGGATAATTAATTAAATAATAAATAACATTATTATTTTCTCGTAGGGAGTTTCACAAAATCATGCAAAGACAGAATCTACATTCTTAGAAACATATAATAATAGGGGTTCTCTGCTTATGAATAGTAAGTATATTTATTCATTAGTGCATACATATATATGAATATATTTAAAATAAATAAAAATCTTTTTATAGAGAATATTCTACGACATTTAAGCCCTTTCCAAATGACCATAAATGATTATGAAAAATTTTGGACTAATTTGTCCAATGAAAGACAAGAAGAAGTGGTAGGAGAATTGGTTATAAACAATATGGAAATTATAAAGCAAAGATTGGAAGATGGGATAAATGAACTAAACGTTGGAATTGGAAGCAGAAGGGGAAGTTGGAAAGTTATTGAAGTTATTGACCGAGAAGCTATTGCGGCATCTCAGTATAATCATCCTAGTCAGATCAGTAGTTCCACATTATCTCTGAGCGGAAATATAGTGTTATTGCATTTTAAAATTCAACCTTTACATTGTTTATTTACCGTTAGAAGTAACATTGGAGGAATTATTGATGATGTTACGGAGGAGATGAAATCATATTTTATGTGGCAAGAGTAATTTAATTTCATGAATTCCTAACATAAAATTTTTTTTAAAGTTGAGTTTTGTGTAATATAGCAGAATAAAATTTATTTGTATCATTCTATTAGAGTTTCTGACAATAAACGGAAAGATCATCACGAAAAGTTTATAACAAAGCGCCATCTGTTTGTATTTACAATGTATTTTGTACCAATGGTTATGCTCGCTTTGCCTTGTCAATCTTGGATCTTTGGCATACACATGCTTATATTCGCAATACACACGGAACACGAACGATTCACGTCTATTACTTCTGGTTATGTTTTTTTTTGTATTTCATTCGATGATCATTTAATACATTTTAGATAAATTAAAATTTACTTAATTAGGTCAAAAAATTGATGTACAAATAAGGTTACCGCAAATTAATTCCTATTATGTAATAATAATGAGAGAAGAAATTCAATAAAAAAAAATTCCAAAGGATTTCAAAAAAAAGTTCTTTTCGTTCTACAACAATTCATTATAAATCGAATAAAATATTTTCTAGAATAAATAAATCTGATCCCAAAATTTCATGTTCCAAAATCTTAAAGAGTAAAGAGAAAGAAACCTGCCAATCATTTCAGAAAGTATTTCCTCATTTACTCGCGACCCTACAGAATTTGTCATTAGATTTTCACATCGACGCATCGATTATCCACACATCTGAGAAGTCAGTGGCAAAGATATTTTGAACAAAGAATGGATAGTAGGTTTGATCAATTGAGTAGCATTTTAATTGAAGATTTGAAATTATTATATGCTCAAATACTTGAATGATTTGTTTTCTTTTTAGAATTGACCCCAGAACATGCAGCAATATTCGACAAATTTAAACATGATGCGGTATGCTATGGATTGCCGTATGGATATTTCGGGATAGTGTGCTGGGCCTCGACCCTTGTATCCATGATCTTAACATACGTGAATTGTCCTCTGTTCTCACCAACAAAGTGGTGTAAACCTTACAAAAGACAAAAACCATCAATTATGGCTCTCTCGGCTGTCATGACAATAGGACCGGTTATCTATACATGCATCCGTTGTAAGGGAGAATGGATGTCAGTATTTATGGCTTTTGGACAGCTCACACCATGGAGTCTCAAGTTAATTAACGATTGTTATGTTACCAAGAAAGGAGATGAAACGGAGTCGAATTACCGCATCATCGGATTCTTTATGACAGTCTTACTTTACCTTGCCGGTTGGATAGGGTTTGAAATAGCGCTTCTTAAACCATCAGATCGAAACAATTCGTTAACCATAGCGATCACGGTGATAGTTTTGGTATTATCACTGTTATGTTACACGGCATGTTGGTCATGGATATCCAAATGTTTACATAATTGCTGTTCTTTTGTGTTATTATACCTTTTAATGACTTCACATATCGTAGGATCACATCTAGTTCTTGCTATAATTAACAAAAATATGATGGGAATTGCTCCCGATTGGTATGGGCAATTATCAGCCATTATTTTCTTTATAGGAAAACGTCTGCTGTTTTTAGATTTTTAGATTTATTACATTCGCAACTTAATAATAAACTTGAAGCATATGTATCATTTGCATTTTATGCATACTAAGGTTTTATTTTAATTGGAGGAGACGTTGTTAAAAAAAAAAAAAAAAAAAAAAGCTCAACATTCGGGTTGGGCAAGAAATTTCGCACAGATGAGTACATAAATGACTTAATTCTTCACATTTATGTATAATAATATTTACTTGATTTCGATTAATACTATTTAATTGCACCCTAGAGACCGAGCGTGTGTTCAAGTCAAGGTGTTGCACGTTCCTTGACATAATGGGATGTAGGATAATCGTAATTAGAAAGAATGGTTTTGAATATTATGTCCAAATTATTCAACTGTCCAAACCCAACAATGAAGTAATCAACATGTCAATTTTATTTATAAATTTTTAATTTGTGAAGAGTCTTGTCGATTTTGCGAATCTGGAAAAATTTTAATCCATTTTAAGGTTTTAATAAATTCACACGGCAGTGCATTCATCCCTATGTTAAATATGTGATTATTTTTGAAACACATGGACATCTAAGTCGAAGTATTTAAAAAAATAAAAAAAAAACGCACTCCTAAAAAAAACGCTCCTGAAATACACATGTTTATTGAATTACAATGGAAAGTGAACATCATATTAACGCCCGGCAGAATTTTAAAAAAAAGAATATTTACAATGAACAAATTTTCCGTGAAATCATGTTGACAAAAATTGTTGCAATTCTAAAGTTTCACGGAACCGAAAAGTTCCGAATTTCCGAATTATTTATTTTAAAAATGCGCCGTTGCCAATGAGTAAATAAATCAGCAGAGAAATTAATTAATATATATGTATACATATACAAATATGTATATTTGTTAAATCCCAATAAAATTGAATCGAAAACATCTGCTTCATGAAGATCAAAGTGGAAGGGTATGATGTAAATTTACGGAATCATGACGCAAAGAATGTATTGAAGCGATTACCACTTGATAATCACTTCCTTACTTGTAAGATCCTCTCTTTAATGGAACATCCATAGGTTTCCATACCCTTCCACCCCCTTTTTATGGCTTGTGGTGGATCTGGAATATCGTGATTAGACGTCTCACACATGTATTTCTAGCATGCAATTCGCAATTCGTTGTACGTAAATAAAAATTTCCTTTATGAAAGAAATTATGTCATCAAATTTCGGATCCGATTAGGCTGCGGTCATCATCAATACCCAATAACATGAATTCAGGTAGGAAACAATGACTTTGATCAATACAACTTTTCAAGTGCGATCACTTCTCGCTGGTTCTAATCTAGTTAGACATCCTGACTTTTTATTTGCGTTATTGAGAGAAACGTGTCTACGATCATTTACTTAACTTTATTTGGTTTACAAAGTAAGATGTAAAAAAAAGACTATTTTTAGTATAATATGGAAAATCGGTTTTCTGTCTCATTTTGCGTAGTTTGAAACTTTTTTTAAAATCCGTTTTTTATCAAATAATTGCTTCGCCCAATCACAAATTTTACTTGGATATAAATTGTTACGCCCCAACAATAGATTTGTAAGTTGTAAAAATTGGGGTTTTTTTTTGGAATTGTAGATGATTGATTTGGTTAGGCGGGTGGAAATGGAAAAGAATGCGTCTAACTCGATTTATGTAAGCAAGTATTTTTTGAATTATTTTTTTTCAGAAAAATCCTTGAATAAAATAACTTTGTAAATTAAAACATGAATATTGCTGGAAAATCACAATACACAATATTCCGATCCATTAAGGGGTTTTTCATGTTACAATGTTATTTTATGTTCATGTTTTACATGATAATAATATAATCATGAATAATTGCTTTATTCATTTTTTTTTTAAAAATAAATAAATAAATAAATAAAAAATAAAAAAAGAAATAAAAAAAAATTGGTAACCAAAGAATTCGCTCCGTCTTATCGAGGGTTCGAATCAGGGAATTTGTATTAATCTTAAAAATCAAAAAAAAAAAAAAATTTATTTGACAATTTAAACCTTAAAATTTTTTATTTTAAGAATGAAGTTGTTTTTATTATATATGAAAACGATCCATATCCATAAAAAGATTATCGAGATTAGTCCTCGGGACGTCATTGATTTGACGATAAAAAGACCGATAAGCATTATCATTTTATTTTTTGAAGAGTTTATATAGTAAAAAAAAAAAAAATGGTTCATGCCGACATCTCCGAATTATTATTGCTTTTTGGCCTTGAAGCCTTTACTTTTATGCTCAAATCGAGAAAGTGATTCCCCCCAACACATATTCGTTTCGCTGACAATGTGCAGACAATAGCGTTTGGAGATGAACAACAATTGTTTCAAAAAATTGTTGGGATTAAAAAAAAACAATGAACCTTTCGTTATTTTTTTTTTTTAACTCTGTGCCAGAATATTTAAATGTTTTAAATGGTTATCAAGAAATTTTTCTAGAAAAAAAATCTTATCTTTTGAATTAACTCTTATCTTTTTGCAACAATTCTGTTGTTCGTGTTCAAGTCATTTCCTTTTTTTCTTTTATAAACAACGATTCGCCGATATGCTTATTCAAAAATTATAAAGTATTTAACATTATTTGTGTAACGATATCGTCAAATCTAGAATACCCGATTTAATTATCATTTTTTTTATTCATTTATTTTAATTTTTTTATTTTTATTGTAAAAAAAAAAAAAAAAAAAAAAAAAAAAAAGGTATTTATATACTCCCCATTTTTACTTGTTTTCAGTTTAGACTTCGAAGAACTTCTTTGATTTTAAAAAAAAAATTCAAATTTTTAAAAAAAAAATAAAAAAATTCTCTTCTTTTTTTTTTTTTGTTATAAAAAAAGTATCAAATTACTTAATCATCTAATGGGTTCCAAGAATTCTACATTTGAGCATCCTGATTTAAATGGAAAAGTCGTCATAATTACCGGAGCTACTGCTGGTATGTGTTCACCGATAAATCTTCCTTGCAACTTTCTTCGTTTTCATTTATTTTTTTTTTTTTTTTTTTAAAAAAAATTAATCCTTTCACGTTAGGAGTGGGAAAAAGTTTGGCAGCCTATATTGCATCTTATAATCCAAAAAGGTTGATTCTACCCGTAAGAAATCTAGCCAAAGGGGAAGCGACCTTGGAACATATCAAATTGAGAAACGGGAATAACGATAACGTTGAATTGTGGGAAATGGATCTCGCCGATTTAACTAGCGTGAAATCTTTCGCTGAAAAATTTATCAAAGAAGTCGGTGAATTGCATTTACTATTTAATAATGCTGGTACGTTTATTGTGGTGAAATCCTACTTTTAGGCAACGAAAACTAAAAAAAAAAAATTTTTTTTTTTTACCCTACAGGTTTGGCCCCCCTAGAGTTGATGAAAACAAAAAATAACTTTGAAATAACTTTTCAGGTAAAAAAGAAAAGGATTCCCTTTTAATAGAATGATGATTAAGAATTTAAATTCTAAAATAAATTTCGTTTCGTTTCTTTTGTCTCTCCTTCACAAAATTCATTCGCAGGTTAATTATTTATCTCAATTTCTATTAACAAATTTATTGTTGGATACATTAAAGAAAACTACATCTCCTGAATTTCCCTGTAAAATCATTCATACAAGTTCAAAGGAACACAAATCAGGAACAATTGATTTTGATAACTTTAATGGACGACAATCATCAATGAACAACTATGTAAACACCAAATTAATGGTAAGTGATCTTTTTGAAAAAATCTTCGTCATGAACAACATCGTTAAACATTTCATATGTATTTCACCTGTTTTTTAGGCTCTGATATTCAGTAATGAACTGAACAGAAGATTGCAAGGCACCAGTAAGTGATTCTTTTCATTACTTGCTATTGTTTATTTTTGTCAAGAAACATTTAACAACACATTATTCCATCCATCATCATTTAATCAACAGACATAACGTCAATAGCGGTTCATCCAGGTTTAATAAAATCAAAGGTGTTTCATATGTATAACAAAGATAGAAAGCTTAAAGGGAAACTAATTCATGGTATATTTATGTTACTCGCAAAATCACCCGATTATGGCGCTTTACAAATCTTAATTCCGACTTTCTCGAAAGGTAAACAAATTCATTTGGGTTACAATTATTATGAAAATTGTAAAGAAGTTAAACCAAACGACAAAGCATTAAACGAAGCTTTAGCCAAAAAACTTTGGGATCATTCGGATAAATTACTTAAATCCAAAATATCTTATACTTCTTGCTCTATGAAAATGAAATATTTAAGAAAAGCATTTTGATTAATCATCATCATAAAACATTTAAAACTCATTGTAATATTCATTAATCTAATTTAATTCAATAAAATAAGCATTTTTCACGTTAATAAATTGCTGCGGTCAGATCATAATAGATTGTTTATTAAAAAAAAGCTTGGCATGATAAATTTATCATACTCGCTAAACTCATATAAAAAATTATGCGTGAGAGATCCGGTTATCCGTTGCCGATATAATCTAACTTGAAATGAAAATGAACTTCGGAAAAAAAAGGGAATTATGATAAAATCAGATGAGTTTTTAATCGAAAAAAGTCCAAATACCACCTGAATTATCTTTGAACAACAAAAAAAAAGATTTTCTAGATAAGTATTAATCATTAAGTAATCATTTAATAATTTTCCATTTTTACATTTGTTGATCGTCTGATGTATATATATATCTAGTCTTATTACTACTTTGGAAATTTAAATACAAATTGATAAGACTCCTTTCAGATTTATTGTAAAAAACTCGAATCACATGCGAATCCACTCCACATATATATGCATGAAAGAGTAAAAAAAAAAAGCTTTCGGATCGTTTAATGAGAAATACAATTATGTTGTATTGATTCCAAATTTATATAAAAGTATTTCAAACTCGCATTTGCATTATCTCTGTTTGGATCTCGAGTCATACCAAATCAAGTTACAATAAAGAAATGTGCATATTGTTAAGAAAAACAAAGACATGTGCCACCTTTTGTAAATATTACTTGACTATTCTAGTAAAGTTTAGATTTTAACAAAGTTCGATTAAACCAATACGCGTAAAACCCTAAAATGAAGTGTTACACTAGTATATAAAAATCTTTATTGTACATTTGCATAAGCGAAATTATTATGATTATTATTATTATTATTTGATTATTCTTTAAAGCTAATATTTGACTGTAAATTGGTAAGTTTATATTAACCATATACTTTTCTATTGCCTCAACAATATTTATTATATTTGATTAATTAAATATATTAATTTTGACGAAAATGGAAAACACGCACGTTCTAATATATATCTTATCATTGGGATTTTATTTTGCGGTTGAAAGGGTAAATGGATAGGGTGAGTATCTCTCACTGAGTTATTTGTCGAGTCGTTGTGTTTTCGAAGTACTCTGCCACTAGATGCGAAATGGAAAGCCCTTCGTGGCCACAGTTTCGGCTGTGAACGTTTCTGATGTCCCCGCACTGGTAACCCCTGGGGGATTTATGGTGAATAGGATACACGACCAACGAATCGAAAGCTCTTCGTGGCCGCAGTCGCAAACGACTGTGAACGTTCTCTTTGACTATAATATTCTTACGGGTTTGTTTAATTTTTATCGCTGTTCACTAGAAAGTTTGAATTTTTCTTTTTATAATTTTCTTATTTGCATTTTCACTATTAAATATATTTTATTATAATTTTTTTTTTTATAATCATGTAATTTATTGTATTTCTATTTTTTATCAATAAATCGCATGCATATATAATCCATTTACTTTTGCATATATTTCGAGAATTATTATAACAGAGTCCAAAACTTTTCTTGGTGTCGTCACGCGTTCGTATTTTTTTTCAGCAATAACTCCTGAGTCACGTGAATATAAATTCTCAAATTTGATTCTTGGAGCGTAGGATTGATCATGAACCCACAATTTAGGAACTAGATAAATATTGTATCATCTATATTAAAGAATTACAATAAATGAATGTCTAATAGTAGAACTACAAACAGTTTCTTAAAGTCGTATCCTCTTTTTGAAATGTAACTAATAAATCAATCAAAAAAAAAAGAATTTTTCTACAGATTTCCGATTTATATAGTTTGAACAGCACACCAAAACAATGCCCAGCTTCTTGATAATCCGTCATCGAGAGTAGCATTTATATTATTTGCAAAGTGGTCGAAAGCTGCATCGGGATCGATAATTGCACGATTCATTTCAATTAAAGATTGAAAATTACCCGTCAAGCCATCAACTATGGGTGCGAAAATTTGGTTAAATTCTTCGGTAATCTATTTTTATTTATTTTATTTTATTTTTTTTTTTTTTTTAAAAAAAAAAAGATCATTAGAAGAATTCGTTGCATTTTAATGAACATGAGAATACAATATTTGAAACTCACGAATTTCTTTGAACGGATATATGGCATAATTGGAGTTACAGGTATCATTTGGATTCCTTGAATAGCGTCTATAAAAACATGAAATTTCGTTCGTTAATAATTTATTTAAATTAACTGCTCCCCGGTATGTTTATTTACCTATTTCTTTGCTGAAGAAGGTAGTATGATCAGCTTTGTTCTCGAATAAAATCCCTGTAACTTTATTCTTAATAAATTTTATAGGTTGAACATTATTATCATCTTCCATTAAGAAATAAGTTCTCATGCTTCTAGCTTCAACGGCTAAAATCACATCAGCTAACGACTCAATATTTGGCTTTTTGGAAACTTGACCCCATAATTTCATTCCATAGAAAAAATTATAATCTTCACTTGTTGACTCTTCGTTATTGCCATCTCCCGAAGAAAATATACCACTTGCCCATGAATGTCCTGAAAACCAATCAAAATTACGGAACGTTGGAAAAAATGTGTCGTCTGCTGATGGATTGGATACGTCTCTGATCAAGGCTTCCACCCACCCCTCATTTTGTTGACCCCATAATTCGTCCAAGTGACGAAGAATCGCTGCGGCGTAAACGAAATATCCGTAATGAAAGTGATGATCACTAAAAAATAATGATGATAATTAGGAGATGGTTACGGTGCGATAAATTGATTTTCGCAGTTTTTGATTTTAAATATCACAGTACTTGTAGAAAGAAGCACCAAAATCTGCGGCTGGATCATCTTGATCGATTATGATTCCTTTCCATGAACTATCGTACCGAAGAGGAATTGTTCGTTGATTTGTCACAAAGGGTTGTATAGCATCCTACAAAAAAAAAAAAAGGGTTGGACCATTTTTTACGACAATTTTTTTTGAAACTTTTTTTCGCAAAAAGATCTCACATACCTTTAATTGGTTAACGCAAGTTGTCGTCAACGTTGGATCTTTGATAACATCATTCGCGACCAAACAAACTAGAGCAAATTTAGCCAACACTTTTCCACTAAAATACATGCTATCCAAGTTCGAAAGTTTTGTAAAATCTTGGGCAACATCTAATGGAGTTTGTTGTACGATCAACGCCTTTTTTTCATCGGTCAATCTTGACTCAAAATCTGTTGGAAGGATTCCAATATTATTTAATACTGGTTCAGCAAATGACCAAGATATGCCAGTAAGTGCTATCATTTGTCCTTTGGCTGGCGACGTCAATGAAATTGTTGTTATATTGGCTCCGGGTGTAAGCGATGAAACCTGATGCGGTAATGCGAAGTGCAATAATGGCTTCGTTAAGTCACCGCTAACTTTCCAATTAAATGCATATGTACCGGTTATTCTAATAAAATTTGGTGTAGTCAGGAGAAATTTAGAACGAAACTTTGGTATGCGATAACTGAAAGGAAATTGAAACCAACCCGTCGTTTTGCACGTCTAAAACAGCGCTAGTGGCATAAATTCCAGCACTGTTGCTGTAAATACCTATAGCTTGATCGATATTATCTTTGGGTACTTTGGCGATTTGAATGATACCTTCAAATGGTCCCGAGCCACAAACGATTTGCCCATTCGTCAATGTCAGTGCTATTTCGGTATTTCCATTGGCATATATAAGCCAGGTTGATTCATCTTTCAATACAACCGTAAATTGTTGAAATGATCCAACTTTAATTGGACTGGATAATGATGTAAATCCTACTCCCGTAAAGAATAATGGTGTTAAATTTTTATAGATGGCGGTTACGAAGGCCATACCACGAACTATTGGTATGACGATATTTTGATCACTGGATAATGTTAAAGTAGCAACGATCGAAAAATCATCGGGCTCCGAGAGAATTAATTGTGGTAAATCCGGTAATTCGTTTGCAGAGATTGTTATGCTCGGTGTGTATATGCTGAAAAAAAATTCAACGGGGTCGGCATTTGGATCGGACCCCAGGACCTTATATATCACGGAAGCATGGAGGTTAAAATTTAATAGTAAATGCGCAGGGAAAGGTGCGTAATGATATTAAGCATGACATGGTACCTTTTTGTCTTCGTCAATATTACTAATACTGAAACCATTCAACGCATCATTTGGATTGGATTCAAATCTTAATGCATATGGTAAAGGAAAAACGGGATTCGGATTGGCATCGGTATCTACTAATAAATTTGTATAAAATTTATTCGTTGGGATTGATTTGGCAAATTTCGGATCCAATCGTCGTGGTGGTTGCGGATGTGGTTTTGATACAAACAATGCTGGTGGTGCATCCGTTGATATTGGTAAAAGTGGTGATGAGGCCATACGAGGCATAAGATTTCCGATTCGATATGAGAAGACGGATGAAATATAAAAGAATAGGGATAAGACTAAAATAGGTAACATTGTGATAAAGAAAAGTTTGAAAATAATTAAGTAAATATTAATCAAATTAAGATTTTTATGTAAAGTTCTAATTCAAAGAAAAACAAGATTTAACGCTGTTTTTATATAGTTTTTTTTCGTTGAATTCGTTTCACGACAATTTAATTCGACTTCCATTTTCAGATAAAATACCGATGCTATAGCATGATGCATGTCATGGATCGATAAATGGCAGATTAATCTCATAGAGCTTACGTTAAAATAAGGAAATTTAATCAATTGAAATAAATGAAACTTTTTTTCATCCATCCAGTACAGGACCTTCTTTGATAGAAAATCAAAAATCAAGAGTTCGAGGATTACGCCGATTAGTGTAACAAAATAAAAAATAATCAAACATATTTAAAGTAAACCAATAAATAAAGTAAGATTTCCATTGCAATAATTATCGAAAATTGATCTGCGATGAACTTGTGTAATTGGTGAATAAAATTAAATTTTTAAACTAAAAAACTAAAAATGGAGTTTTGATATAAAAAATAGTTAGACCAAACCGAATATTTAATTTGAAGTTTATGGATCACTTTAGTTTATGTAATACAAAGATATTATAAAAGTAAATTATAGAAAGAAAGAAAAACAAAGTATGATAATAGAAAATAATAAGAAATAAAAAAGAATATTAAATAGCATATAGTAATCATAGTTATAATTAGATTATTTATCATAAATATTTATTATTTATTATCAAAAGAAAATAAAAAATTTGAAAAAATCAGAAATCTTTTATTTGAAATAAGAAGCTGTATTATACAAATTATTTAGATTTACTTAATAATGTTAGTAAGTATTATAAAAGTAAATAAAATTCTTTTGCTATATAAAATATTAATAACTTAATCAAAACTCAAGCTCTTTTAATGATTATTTAACTGAAAATAGCAAATTTAACAAAATTACAAAAAGTTTATTTGTATATATGAAATACATTTATGAAAATATTATTAAATATAGAATAAAAAAAATAATAAGCAAATAGAAACTTATAAAATAAAATAAAAAATTATCAACTAAAAGATTTATTAAAAAATTACTAAAAAACTTATTAGAAAAATTCATTAGTAAGATTTATTAAAAAAAACATCAGAAAAAATTATCAAAAAGTTAATAGAATGAATAAATAAAAAAATATAAAAATATAAAAAATAGTAAAAGTATTTAATAGAAGAATATAGAACATTATTTAAGATAGATATGTTAAAAAGTCCTATAGAACCAGGTTCTAAACAGTTCTATAAAGTTCAATCCAGTTCAAGTCCTTTGAATTATAAGACTGCAGTCCTATTTAAACTGGAACTTACAATCCTTAAACTGCGATTCTATATAAAATGGGACAAAACTGCAATCCTAATATAAAATAGGATTTACAGTTCTAGAAACTAATAAATTAATAAAGAAATGATGAAAAAATTATTCATCTTAAATGATAATGTATTATTTTATTATAACGATAAATAAATCATTCATCTTAATGATAATATATTATTTTATTAGAACGATGAATAAATCATTTGTCTTGAATGATAATATATTATTCTATTAGAACAATAAATAATCATTCATCTTGAATAATAATGTATCATTCTATTAAAGTAATAAATAAATCATTTAAGAAGAATGATAATGTATCATTCAACTAGAACGATAAATAATTCAGGATAATATATCATTTAACTAGAATAATGAATAAATCATTCAAAAAGAATAATACTGTATCATTCAATTAGAAGGATGAAAAAATCATTCTACTTGAATGATAATGTATTATTCTATTAGAATGATAAAATATCATTTGATTAAATGCCTCATTCTATTAAAAAGATGAATTGTTCACCTTGAACGATAATATATCAATCTATTAGAATGATGAAAAAATTGTTCTACTTAAATGATAATATACTATTCTATTAGAATGCGAATAAATTATTTAAAAAAAATTATGATATATCATTTAACTAGAATAATAAATAAATCATTTAAGAAGAACAATACTATATCATTCAACTAGAATGATGAAAAAATTGTTTGACTTAAATAATTATGTATAATTCTATTAGAACAATGAAAATATCATTCAACTTGAATATCTCATTCTATTAAAAAGTTGAATCATTTGCTTTGAATAATAATGTATCATTCTATTAGACTGATAAATAAATTATTCAAAAAGAATTATTTAACTAGAATGAGAAATATTCTTCTTGAATACTGATATAACGTTATATTAAAATGATTAAATTTTATACAATTTTATCTAACATAAATTACATTATGAATTTTTAGTAAATATTATGAAATTTTATTTATTTATTTTAAAAAAATATATATAATAATAAAGAATATATATAATTATTATTTTTAAAACTATTGACTATATATATATATATAAATTTAAATATTTTGTAAAGTTATTAATTCACTATCAATCCAACTTTTTAAGAATAATGATGTTTGTAATTTTTTGCTCACTTGATATACTTATTGATTGTATAAATAAATAGTCTTTGCCATATATACAAGTATAGAATATTTTGGATCTTATTCTCTAGCTTTATATCAAGCTAAAGAATCTGTATCCTCTTCAGATGCATTTAAATAAATTTACAATATATCATTAATAATATTATTATTATTTATTGACATTTTTAATCTTTTTCTAAAATAATTTCTTAAAGAAGTTTCTTCTGAAACTTCTAAAGAAAAATTGGTTTTCATCATATAATCTTTATACTTTTCTTTAAAAGTTTCTTTTGCCTCATTTATATTAATTTTATCAAATGTTGATAATTTATAAAATGGATCAATTATTGAAGCATTTTTGAATTTTCATTTAAATAAATCCAATATTTATATGATTTGTTATTCATTGCTATTGTAATAAGAGATAATATTAATGGATTTTCTGTTATTTTTGATTAAAATAATTCCATTATAATTGTAAAAGCTAAAGTTTCTTATAAGTTGAGCCAGCTCACAAGTCTTATAAGCCAGCTCGCTAAAGCTTAGCTCAAGCTATTACTATTATAAAATGGCTTACAAGCTCATTAAGCTAGCTTGTACAGTAACTCAGCTCATAATATAACTCAACTATTCATCTTGTATTTTTAATTATCAAAAATATTAGATCTAGCAGATTAACTTTGAAAAACAATGTTTTAGGCAATGATTTCTTTAAAATTAAACAATTCTAGCAATATTTTCTTCAAAGAAAATGATTCTGATAAAGTTATTTTAAAGAAAAATAATTCCAGTAATATTTTTTCGAAGAAAACTATTTTTGGAACGTTTCTTTTAAATAAATGCTTCTAAAACGTTACTTTTTAAAAACACTTTCAGAGCATTACTTTTAAAAAATACTTTAGAAGCATTACTTTTAAATAATAATACTTCAGTAGGTTGCAATATATATATTACAACTTACTTGCATTAAGTTATTACCTACTTATGATTATATTATTACCTACTTACTGTTTTTAATGTTCTATAGCTTTTTTATTATCAGAATATTATTCACATGATTTTACCTTTCTGTATTCTTTTTATTACCTGTAGTTATCTGCTTAATTTTATTGCTCTGTCCTCTTTTTATTATCAAGAAACTATTCATATAATTATAATATTTTGCGCTCTTTTTGTTTCTAAAAAGTTATTTGCTTATTTTTCTACTTTTGGGCCTATTTGGTGACCTGTTAAGATATTAAGAATGCTTTTTTTTTATACCTGTTTAATTGCCTATTAAAATTCTAAATTGCGATAAAAAAAATGCATCAGATAGTATAGTAAATTCTCGTTTAATTTCAGCTGATACTATGCTATAATTTCAGACAATCTTTTGAGCATGTGATTTAGAGATCCAGCTTGATACCATAATAGTGCTATAGTAATGTCATAGAACTATTGTGAAACTGGTAGGGAATTGTTATAGAACCAGCAGAATGCTGGAAAAGTTCTATTAGTTCGCCAGTTTTATGCTAACTTGGATGCTGAATTATTATATTCAAACTTCTGACCAAATTTATGGAGTGGTATTGGCCAAAAATAAGCGAATTAATACTGTATCTTATTTTGTTATAGTCATGTGATACTGTTCTGATGCTGAAATACCCTCATATAATTGCTTTCCTCTCAATTGCCATTTCTTGATTGCCAAATAAGATATAAAGTGCTGAATTTGCAATCCATCTATTCGCTAAAGATATGTTGCAATCTATTCACCTACTTTTTGATTACTGGTGAAGCACATACAAAGTGTTAGTATTGTGCTATTCTTGTAATCCCGCTTTTTATAACCTGTTTAATTGCTAAGGATGAGACACAAAATGCCAAGTTGGTAATCCAGATGCGTAAAATTTATTCTTTCTTTCCTATATATAATTCTGCTTATCTAGGTTATTAAGATTTTGCATGTTTTTAGCTTTTAGATCATGTTCTTATATAGTTACTAATTCAGGATATCTTTAGTTAGTAACCCAGATACACAAAATTTATTCTCTATTTCCTATATATAATTCTGCTCATCTGGTTTATCAATATTTTGCATATTTTTGGCTTTTAGATCTTGTTCCTGTATAGTTTATACTTTTAGATACTACCGCATTATTTACTAGTAAATTTATTTTAAAGTTTATATTTTCTGTATAAATTTATACTTGTTTATTTCACTACCCATAATATCGGAATCTACTACACAAAAAACATTGAACCTAACTCCATAGAAATTAATAAAGCAATAAGCCTCTTTTCAGGTATAGCAGATCTTGATTTTGAGCTGAATTATCCCTTAGATTATCTAGCAGGCAAATTTGCCTGCGAAATTAAAAATAATTGTTAATTTCTTTATAAAATATTAAATATTAAGTTTAGTAATATTATTACTATATAAAAAATATAATTTAATATATATTTTATCAACTTTATTAACAAAGATTTTAAGTT